TGCATTAATTCAACAACAAATATTTTATGAGCACCTACTATGTACCAAGCACTGTGCTGCTTGTAATACACAAAAAAAGGTCACTAAGATGCTATTACTCAGTAGAAGGTGACAGACTAGGAACATAATTACGCGAGAGAGGGAAAGTTCTACAGGAATGCAGCAGAGAATCTGAGTAACTCAACCTGGGGAAGTCTGGGGAAGCCCCAGAGAAGAGGTGACGTTTAGGCTGCATCTTGAAGAAAAACGAGGATCTATACAAGTGGGAAAGGGCTGGTGCTGTCCTCTAATGCAGGTCTCTATAACTTGGGTGTCAAGTCACAATATCAGTTAGCAAGACTATAGTTTCCCACCGAACTTCTTTCAGTCTGCAAACCCAGTGGATACTAGGTGACTGCAGGTTCTTACATGGCAAAGTTAGCCCAGGAATACTGTCTCTGTGGCATCCCTTCCCAATTTGTGGTTTCTAGTTGGCAGTTCAAAGACTTTATAGTGTTTTAGAAAAGAGACAAAGGCTACCGTTGATTCAGGGAAGACTGTGTACTAGCCACTTATTAGGCACATGAGATAGATTTTTGTACAATCCTTGCTTGCAGTTTCAAATATTAAGGCCTATGGCAACATGAGGGATACATGCTACCACCTAAGGAAGGACTCTGGCTGTCCAGTGAGGTCCCAGCAAAGTAATGTATAGCTTGGTAAATTTGTCACTCTTCAGGGTCTTATTTTTAAGTTGTTTTAGGGGCACAGGGACAAGGCATCAGTTCTCAAAGGCAGAGTCACATTAACCAAGAGCAAACATCTAGCACTTGCTCTGGGTCAGCCACTGTTCTAAGCACTTTCCATATAATGTCTCATAATCCTCACAGCAATGCTATATGTTCCCAGTGCTATTATTGTTCCCGGTTTATAGATGAGGAAGCAGAAAAGCACAGTGAGTTTAAGCAATTTGAATAAATGCAGAATGTCAATTTGTTACTTATAGCTGTCAAGTAGACCAGTCTTTTTTCCACCTGATCCAGGGCCACCTCACTTCACAGACATACCATCCTCAGTGGCTTACTGGGCAATGGAATCAGAACAAGAGAAGCTGGCTACCTTCAAGAAACTCTCATCCTCTATAGAGCTATGTATAACCAGTGTCATATCACTGGTGGAGACTCTACAAGATGCTCTGGCCTTGGTTCCATCCTTGGGTCCTCTGGATCAGGGCTGAGAGAGCTGCAGAAACGCTCTCATAGGGAGTTGTGGGTTGGCAGGAAGGGCCTTTTTGGGGACACTCAGCTATTGAGTTTGCTCACTGAGATGGCCTCCCCTTGGGTTGGTTTCCAGAGAGGCCCAGCCTGGTTTCTGTCTGGGATGACCCTCTTCTTCTTCCCTTCCTCAGCTAACCACACCACCACTCTGGCTCCTTTCTTTCCCATTTATATGCTGCCTTTAGATGTGCTAAAACTTTCCTCTAGCTCCTACCAAGTTGTTAATTCTGGGAACCTGTCTTTCCTCTTAAGGGGATACTGAATATTTCTGCTCTGACTAGGATGTATTGATTTTAAAGTTAAGAGGAGATCTTATTTCACTGATTTCCTTTTTTGTCGAGTGCATTTGTGGTGTTGGTATGCTAAACTGCTGTGAAATACGGACTAAAATGATTGTATCATGGCTCAAAACAACAGAAGTTTCCTTCTCATACACCTGACAGTTTTTGAGACAGACTCAGGGGCCCAGGCTTCTGTTTATCTCCAGCTGTTTACACAGGTGGTTCTCCCATCCTCAAGGGCCTGGAAATTGCCTGAAGCAGCCAGCGGAGACAAAGGAGGACACAGCAAAGCCTCGATCCAGGAGGGGCCACACTGACTCTGCTCAGACACCTTTAGCAGGCTCTGGTCACACTACACATTGTTCGGGGAGTCAGGGGAAGGCAGACTGTGACCTTGTTCTACGTGCTCAGGGAGAAAAAAAGACCCGGCTAATGGTTGCCCCATCTTACGCTCCTCTTACCCTCTCCATTATACAGACCAGGAGGCTGAGGCTCAGGGAGAAAAGGACATCAGAGACAGCGCTGCTGGTAGGCAGTGAAGCTTAGGCTCAGTTCTGTTTGATTCTGAAGACCTTGCTTCTTCACCCGGAACACATCTCCTCCTGGCCCCGTGTACATGTACATGAAGACCGGATGGAGAAAATGGGGGAGTCGAGTCGGAGTTAGATTTTTGTGTTGTTGTAAATTTGAATACGGCAGCTGTTACTTATTATAATACAGACATTTCAGGTATAAACTACACATATATATAGTATGCGTTTCTGAAAAATCTTGCATTCTGCAAAATCACAGACGAAAATTAATTGGACTTACAGAAAATTAGGATTAGAGGCAGACCACATCAACAGACGGTACTTGGAAAACCAACGGGCCTTTGTAACCGAATCACTTTTAAAACATTAACAATCCTACTGAAAACACAAGCAACATTAAATGTCCACGTTAACAACAAACGCCACAGGCAAAATTGAAAGTGTGAGTTCATTTCTATAGAGACCTACTTATGAAAATGTATA